TGCTACCTGAGACACCTGTACTTCAGAAAATGCTGAGCACCCATATTCTGAAAACCAGGCTTCTTTCAAGTGTCTCAAATTGATACACACTTCCAATAAAGGCTGACAATGGACAAAGCATATTTTTACCTCAGTGGGTTCTGACTGTATTTTTTAATGGAATCTAATATGGGGAATCACTTCTGGCATTATGAGCCCAATCTTGCAAATGCTTAAGCACATGTCTAAGTTTGCTCATGTGTCATTAATGTGGGAGTATTAATTTGAGTAGAGTTATGTACATGCTCAGGTGTCCGCTGGTGGGGAATTTCTATGAGGATTTCCCTTTGTTTTCAATCTCAATCTCATTTGATACTACACATGTATAGTCTAATGCTAGAAATCATGGTAAGGTGCTGGGAAATTATCCAAAACTTATTTGGCTCTGGACTCAAGGAGACCGCAGTTCCTAATCCCGTACATGATAATTACCTTAGCAGCCAGAACGGCTGGGAGCTTAATTTTTTCAAAGAATCTGTGGAGAAGATCTAAAATGTTGGCACTCGTGGGCTTTTCTTATCCCAGAGCATAAGAGTGCACTAGATCCACCAAGGAAATGGTCCACCATGTGAGCAGTGCTGTATCGTTATTTCCCCTTCTGCAGTACAAGTAGAAGATAATGATTAAGGCTTAAGATTTTTGTCATGGATATTTATACTAAAAGTCACAGGCAATAAAGAAAAATTGGTGGAAGCCCATGATCTGTCTGTAACTTTTACTGAAAATATCCCTGACAAAATAGAAAGCTGCCCCGCTGACATTTCCCCACCTTGGAGCTTCAGGCTCCCCCCCTCCACTGTCTCTGGGGGCTCAGAGCTTCAGGGTTCCCATCATCTGTTGCTTGGTGCTGTAGGGTCCCCTTGCCACTCATGGCAGCCAGGAGCTGTCAGGTTTCCCCATCACTACTGTGACTGGGAACTCAGGCGGGCCTCTGAGTTCTCCCACTGCCTATGGTGGGTGGGAATTGCAGAGGCAACCTTCAGCTCCCAGCTGCTGTGGGCTGAAGTCACAGAATCTCTGGAAGTCATCACATGTTCCATGACTTCCATAGGCTCTGTGACAAAATCATAGCGTTAATGATGGTTAATCACAAATGTCCAACACTTTGACACAGTTGTCAGTTTTCTGCACAGGCTCTTAAAGCTGCTGGGTAATCCTAAGCTTTTCTATTCCACCTTTCCTAGCTACAAGAAGCCAGGAGCAGAAAGGTATGAAGCCCAAGCTCAAGGCCGCATGAAGCCACTGACTCCTTCCCAAATCAGTGTTCATATTGGGATGGATGATAGGAGACGGGAGTCACCCAGGCCAACTGCTTGGGATCAGATTAGTCAAGTGTCTCTTTCATCTCTGACTTCAGACAAGCTACCCAGAGGTGGCAATTTTATAGAGGAAGAAGCTGGCAAGTGGTCACTGCTCATTAATGACAAAGATGAAGAACAGTACATTTAAATGCTGCATCCCATAGCTGAACATGAAGTCAATATGATTCTTCGCCACTGACAGTGAACAGCAAGAAACCCCATTTAAATATAAATGGAGCCCTTATGTCCCTGTTTGCAAAACAACAGCAACTCAGAAATTCAGCATTGGATTGTGATGATCCACAATGTGAAGTTGGAATCCACAAATCCTAGCATGACCCCTACGTCATAGATCAAGCTGGGAATCAAAATTGCAGCCTGTCCAAAATTGATTCCCTTGTACTTCTTTTTGGAACGTCTGTGAAAATATTTTTAAACTAAATCTGACATTCATTTTCTAGGTCAAAGTGAAAACCAACATGCTTGACAACAAAATAGCTCTGTATTTGGGGCTCGTATTTTTACATAGAACCTAATCTCGTCATCTCATCATGGGAAAATTTTATATTTAGGGTTCAGGCAACGTGTGTATTGAATTGGAACAAAAATGTATTAATGGTGTATTTTGCTATGTATAAAACTTATAAAATTCTGTTTCAAATATTATCATTTTTCCTGTGGCATCACTAATTTTATTTTGTGAAGTGTGTCTCCATTTGCCAAACTTATTTGCTGCTTCCAATTACTTGGTTTAGGTTTTCCAGTTTTCTTCTGCATGTTCTCCAGAACTCTCTCTTCCCAGTAGAGTTCCATCTTTAGACACCTGTTATGTCTTCAGATCTTCCCATATGGGATGAGATCCTACAAGGCACTGGGGACCCTGCAATTCTTGTTGAAATCCACAAAGTCTGACCTCCTCATTTTGTTGAATCTTTTGACACTCCCAATAACTGTCGTGTTCAGCTGTTGCTTTGATTTGCAGAATGGCATAAATGTGCCACTGTAAGCTGAGTGGCACATTCGTGCTAATGCATTGAGGAGATACTTTCCAACCTGGAGTGCTCATTCTTGGTCTTGATGGGAGCGAGAATGTTAGAGGTGACATGCTCAGTCTTTGTGCTGGTGGATCGGTTAACAGCGCTCTTCAAGGGCTCCAGGGAAGCTGTGGGGACACATCAAAAGCTGAGATTCAACAGAGAGGTGGGGTTTTGGAGGATTTTCTCTGCAGATGGCAGGTGAAGTAGTAGATTAAAGCCCTCTTTAAACCCAATCAAAATCCTTCTTGATATCTTGTGTTAGAGCTGAGTGATTAAAGGAAAGTCCATAACTGAATACTCACCCTATCCCTGCTACAAATTACTACGTCATTACAGATCACATCAGGCTAAAAGTGACTCTTACTTCGTCTCTGAGTTTTATCTTGGACCATAAACACTACAGGGTTAAAAATTGCCACTAGGAGGAGATAATCATACTGGTGTAAAGGAGAATGCAAGTATTCATGGAGTTCCAGGATGGTTGGAGCAGCTGAGGGAAAGGGGTTGAGGTTACTGTACTGTTTTTAATAGCACCAGATAACACAACTTGGTGGTTATTTAAAATAAAAGTGAAAACTGATTTAAAATGGAAATGATAGCGCATGGCCACCAGGCTCTCATTTATTCTGGTATGAACCCTCTTCACAGTACCAGCAATTTGTTATTTAATCCTATCCTGGTGTATACCTTAGAATGTATATAAATGGGGCTTTAACATTTTTGAGGTGCTTTACCTCCCTGCTTACAGTGGTGTAAAGACAAATCAAGGCAGAACAGAAAAGCCTTGTCTCAGACTGCTAAAGTATGAGCTTAACCACAGCAACGTTGTCTCCAAATTCACCCTCCAATACTGGTCCCTTAGGGCATTTGGAGTCCGGTGCTTTGTGGACTGAGTGGGTGAAATCTTGGCTCAATGATGTAACAAACTATGAAGGCTTGAGGGGTGAGAGGGGGAACGGACAAGATTTTACCTTGGCAAAAGATCCCAGGGCAGTGGTGAAAGCACTGGTTTGGTTCAGTTGAAATTCTGCCGGTTTCCCAACAAACGGCCAAATCATACACTTGCTGTAGTAAAAGTTCACACTCCAACTGACTCCGAGGGAAAGAATGTTGTGTCTGTAACACTGGATGGGAAATTGGTTCCCATTGTAATGTCGTGTGTGTCCTTTTTAACAATTCCCTTATATTTAGGTTACTGTCAATGGAGCCATTCATCTGTGTTGAGGAATCACATCATTTGCTAGATTGTAATTGCACTAATTTAAAAAAAATCCATTTCAAAACTATAAAATCTTATTAGATATTTAACAGTGTTGATACAGCTGCAAAAATACACAGTAAAACATGCAGTAGCTGGCTGGTCCTACTCATAGTGACAGTTTTTCTATTGTTTGGACTAATTTAAACGTTTTCATATCAGTCTGTGAAATAAAGCTGGGGGTTTTTCACACATTTTTCTGTCTCTTGGGTAAATGAAACAAAAATTTGAGAATAAGCAGAAGCTATTGGACCGCAGAATCTGCACCTCTCATGTTCTGTGAGCAGTGAGTAACTCAGGTTGATAAGATGTGGCTTTCAAAAAAACTCACGTTTGGCCTTACTTTGCTCCTGCCAAACAAAATGCCATCCCTACAGCGCACATAATGCCAGACAGATTTGCTTTAAAAAAAAATAAATCAAATTGCAAATGCATTAGTTTAAAGATATATCTTAATCAATCTCAAAAGTCAGCTCAAGACCGGTTCAATATATTTATTCTTAATATAGGCACAGAGAGTTAAAGGGAGAGAGAGAAAAAGAGAGAGATTTGTTACTATGTCAAAACTTTATTTGAAAATGATACTGGTGTAGACAGTTACAATATAACAGTGTTTCTCAAAGTAGTCCACGAAACCACTTTGAGAAATCTGCTAACTGGCCGCGCTGGTTTGTTTATTTACTGACGCTGTGGCCATGGAGCCTTCTGGCTCCTATTGGCTCCATTTCACTGTTCATAGCCAAAGGGAACTGCAGGAAGTGGCGTGGGTCAAGCCATCACTTCCCACAGCTCCCCTTCACTGTGAACGGTGAAACGGAGCTAATAGGAGCCACGAGGCTCCGTGGCCATGGCGCCAGTAAATAAACAAACCAGCGCGGCCAGTTAGCAGATTTCTCAAAGTGGTTTCGTGGACTACTTTGAGAAACACTGTTATATTGTAACTGTCTACACCAGTATCATTTTCAAATAAACTTTTGACATAGTAACAGAACTCTCTCTTTCTCTCTCTCCCTTTAACTCTCTGTGCCTATATTAAGAATAAATATATTGAAGCGGTCTTGAGCCGACTTTTGAGATTGATTGAGAAATACTGCTGTTTAACATGGATTGGAAACTGGTTAGAGGACTGTAAACTGGTGATGATACCAAACTGAGAGAGTGCTTCAATGGAATGGAGCAAGGAGTAGGTTTAGGTTTTATTTAATTTCTTTATTAATGAGCTCAAAGAAGAGATAAATATAGTAATTAAATTTGCCTCATGTCCTAAGCTCAGAACTATTTCAAACCTCACTGAGAAATAATATAATGGAGCCTAGAATAATTAGACACAGACAGGAAGAATTCAGGCTCTGGTCCTGAAACTTGTTCCATGTGAGTAGAACCAGTGTTCTCAATGAGCCACTGTTGACATCATCGGGCTATATGAAGGTGCATGGAACTAGATGGAAGATTGTCCTTAGAATTTAGGAAGTTACTTGCTTTTTGAGCAAAAAGAGTCACTATTTTTGTACAGCGCCTAGCACTAAGGGATCTTAGTTTATCACGGGGTCTCCTAGGCAGTACCTCAATACTGCCATTATTACTTGAGTGGGGCCAAGGTTCACAGTAGAAAAATACAAACTAATATATGTGAGGAAGAATAAATTAGACCCAGTTATTCAATAGGAGGTTGGAGTTAAGTTCTTACTTAGATTTTTCCAGCTGTGAGGGGATCTTGTATTGGGAGTACTTGGGGAAATCTGGGAAGCTACATAGAGGCTCTACATGGGTAGAGCACCAGAGTAGGACTTACTTAGGAGACCTGGTTTCTGTTCACAGCTCAGCCCCTGGCCTGCTGGGTGACTTTGGACAAGTCCCTTTATCTCTCTGTGCCTCCGTTTTCCAATTTGGAAAATGGAGATAATGATGTTGACATCCTTTGTAAAGCTTGGGCTTGACTGATGAAAATTGCTACATTAGAGCTAGATATCATTTTATGTGGTTTTAATTTTTTTTTTTAAAATGCATGTCTCAGGGGTCCCCAAAGCCTGGGATGGGCATTTTTGTTGTAGAATAAAAAAAATTTTTTTTTTAAAAGCATGGTTTTTGTGAGCTTTTATCCAACTATTACACTGAAAATGACCATAAGAATGGGTGGAATAATTTCCATATTCCCTTCCTCCCCCTCCCCCCCCTCTTCTAGCAAATTTAGGCAGAGATTCAATTTGAACTACACCCAAGGTAGCATCACTTTCTTAATGACTAAGTATTCTTGCCAGGAACGTATTTCCTTTCATGCATTTGTGCAAAGAAAACAATGGGTAGGTGGTAAAATGATACAACGGAATAGAAAAATGTTACATCAGCTAATACTGAAATGCCAGTTTTAATTTCCTCTTCTAAAAAGTTACGAGCAGTCCTGCGGCACGTTCGAAACTAACAGATTTATTAGGGCATAAGCTTTTGTGGGTAAAACCCATTTAATCAGATGAGTTGCACTCCAATTCATCCTATGAAGTTGGTTTTACCCACAAAAGCTTATGCCCTGATACGGTGTTTCCCAAATGGTGTTCCACTGAGCCCTGGGGTTCTGCGAAGTAAAAATAAGGGTTCTGCAAGAAAATTCCATTACAGTAACATTTTATGATTAAAAAAATAATTAATATTTAAGCATTTATGAATTTTATTGAAAACAATTTTTATTTGTGTTTGCCATGTGTAATGCCAGCTTAGCCAGAGTGGGAATGATGATGTTACTACTCAGCACTGCATAGTCAATCAGTGGTGCAATCACCTGTTATATACCTCCGTAAATACCCATACTCACTCTCAGGGAGTGTGGATCACGAGGGTGAATGAATGCGTATATGTAGCACCAAACTACACCAGCAGTCACTTCACAGACATGCACTGATAGATAAGAATATTTCTCCCTCTCTTAAAAATGTGTTGAACGAAGCAATGCAGATTATTAATTATATAAAAATTCGACCATTATAATCAAGACTTCAAAATTATGTGTGAAGATATGGGCAGTCAGCACACAGCCCTGCTTCTACATACAGAAGTCAGGTGACTATCGCAAGGCAAAACCACTCTTCACATTGAAAACTGCCAATATAATGCATATTAGTTTTTGAGCTTTATGTTTTGTACACATTAAATGTGATTTTTGTTTTTAAATATGTGCAATTAAACTAAATGTTGATCTCATAACCTTGTTTAGAATTTGTTTATTATTATCCTTACTTATTTGTGGTCTGCTTTTTTAGCTTCATATATAAGACTGTTATTAGGGGTTCCGCAAAATTCTTTCTAGTTTAAAAGGGTTCTGTGGCCAAATAAAATTTGGAAACACTGCCCTAATACATCTGTTAGTCTCCAAAGTGCCAGATAACTCCTTGTTGTTTTTGTAGATACATACTAGCACAGCTACCCCTCTGAGACTTCTAAAAAGTTAACAGCGACAGACTTATTCCTCATTGGGAAATCATCTGAGAGTGGCAAAGAAAACCAGAAGTCGTGAGGGGCAAATACAGTGCTCTTACTTATGGATCAGTTAAGAATAAATTGTGACTGCGAGTTGGGGTTTCCCCGATCCTGCACCCTCATAGCAGCCAGAACAGTCTCCACCAGCCAGTAGAATAGAGAGGGGTTTACTGATTTTCCAGAATACAGCACAGCCACGTGACGTGGCTACCGGGGGCAGGGCCGGGGTGGCTCAGGCCCCTAGGGTTAGGGTCCATCACCCTAGCCCCCAACTTAGCCTGTTCTCTTCATGCTTACCAGACAGCAACTGCCTCCCCTCCCAGCCAGGTGTTTTTCTCCGCCTTCCTCCCTTTGTTTCTCTCCCTGGGAGGCTGAGTCTAGGTGTCTCGGTTAATACACATTTGGGTGAGTCAGTGGGAATCAGGGGGACACCGGGTTACAGAGCAGACAGCACCCCCACTGCAAGAGACCTACACCTACAAGATCATCAACAAGCATTCTGTAAACTACGATACCCACACAAGGTAGTGAGGAGACAGATTGATAGAGCCAGACGTGTACCCAGAAGCCTCCTGCTACGGGACAAGCCCAGGAAAGAAACCAACAGAACACCACTAGCCATCACCTACAGTCCTCAACTAAAACCTCTCCAACACATCAGTGATCTACAACCCATCCTGGACAATGATCCCTCACTTTCACAGGCCTTGGGAGGCAGGCCAGTCCTTGCCCACAGACATCCCGCCAACCTGAAGCATGTTCTCACCAGCAACTATACACCGCACCATAATAACTCTAACTCAGGAACCAATCCATGCAACAAACCTCGGTGCCAACTCTGCCCACAAATATACACCAGCAACACCATCACAGGACCTAACCAGATCAGCCATACTGTCACTGGTTCATTCTCCTGAGCATCTACTAACGTAATATATGCCATCATGTGCCAACAATGCCTCTCTGCTATATACATCGGCCAAACTGGACAGTCCCTACATAAAAGAATCAATGGACACAAATCAGATATTAGGAGTGGCAACATACAAAACCCTGTAGGGGAACACTTCAATCTCCCTGGACACACAATTGCAGATCTAAAGGTAGCCATCCTGCAGCAAAAAAACCTTCAGGACCAGACTTCAAAGAGAAACTGCTGAGCTACAGTTCATCTTCAAGTTTGCCACAATCAACTCTGGATTAAACAAAGACTGTGAATGGCTAGCTAACTACAAAAGCAGCTTCTCCTCTCTTGGAATTCACACCTCCAGATCAGCTACTAGAAGTGGGTCTCATCCTCCCTGATTGGATCCACCTCGTCATCTCCAGCCCGATTCTGGCCTGCATATTTATACCAGCCTCTGGAAATTTCCACTACATGCATCTGACGAAGTGGGTCTTTGCCCACGAAAGCTTATGCTCCAACACTTCTGTTAGTCTATAAGGTGCCACAGGACTCCTCGCCGCTTTTGCAGATTCAGACTAACACGGCTACCCCTCTGATACTTGACACCCCCACTACGTTACACAAATACAACAGAAGACACATTAATTTCTGTCTTTGTTGCCAACAAGTGCAACTGGAGAGGCAGGTGAAGCTGATATATAGATTCTCAGTACAAGTTATTACTGCAGCTGTGCATTTAGTTTCTTCCCCAGATTTTATATATATATAGGGCTTGCCGAGCAGCAGCAAGCCCTGCTCACCAGCTGCACGGTTCTGCACTCTGCACATCAAATCTTCTATTTGTCGAGCCCTACACACACACACACACACACACACACACACACACACACACACACACACACACACACACACACACACACACACACACACACACACACCCTGAAGATAACTGGGGAAGACTTCCTTGGTGATGCAGATACAGGAAAAAAAGATTAAACATCAGAAAAAAGCCTTTTTTGTCCCTCCTGGAATTCATCGTCCTGGCATAGAGGAGGGGTAAATCTCCTGAAAGAATATCTGAGCTCTCTTGTACCACCACTCATTTTCCATCATTTTCTCCGTGGTGA